TCTTATCAGTTTGCCCAGAGGTCAGGCAGTAGGTAGGAGGTGGAAGGGTGAGGTTTAACAGGTGTCAAACATGCAAAAAAAATGGAGAGAGATATTTTAGTATGTAGCTCTTATGTGGTGTTTAGGCTGACTGTGGAATAGACCATCAATTGCTCATATGCAAGTTCAAGTTGAAGCTGAAGAAAATCAGAACCAGTTTATGAGAGCCAAAGTACAATATTGAGTATATCCCACCTAAATTTAGAGACCATCTCAAGAATAGATTTGACACATTGAACACTAATGACTGAAGACCAAACGAGTTGTGGAATGACATCCAGGATCATACATGAAGAAAGAAAGAGGTCATTGAAAAGACAGGAAAGGAATAAAAGAACAAAATGATGTCAGATGAGACTCTGAATCTTGTTCTTGAACATAGAGTAGATAAAGCAAAAGAAAAAAAAATGATGAAGTAAAGAGCTGAACAGAAATTTCAAAGAGCAGCTGGAGAATATGAAGTAAAGTATTATAATGTCATGTGCAAAGACCTGGAGATAGAAAACCAAAAGGGAAGAACACACTCAGTATTTCTAAAACTGAAAAACCTGAAGAGAAAATTCAAGCCTCATTTTGCAATAGTGAAAGATTCTTTGGGCAAAATACTGAACGACGCAGGAAGCATCAAAAGAAGATGGAAAGAATACACAGATCACCGTACCAAAAAGAATTGGTCAATGTTTGATCATTTCAGGAGGTAGCATATGATCAAGAACAAATGGAATGGAAAGAAGAAGTCTCAGCTGCACTGAAGACAATGGGAAAAAAAAAAAAAGCTCCAGGAATTGAAGGAATACCAGTAGAGATGTTTCATCAAATGTATGCAGAGCTGGAAGTGCTCACTTGTCTTATGTCAAGAAATTTGGAAGACAGCTACCTGGCCAGCCAACTGGAAGAGGTCCATATTTCTGCCCATTCCAAAGAACGATGATCCAATAGAATGTGGAAATTATTGAACAAGATCATTAATATCACAAACAAGTAAAATTTTGCTGAAGGTCATTCAAAAGCAGTTGCAGCGGTACATCGACAGGGAACTGCAAGAAATTCAAGCCAGATTCAGAAGAGGACCTGAAATGAGGAGTGTCATTGCTGTTGTCAGATGGATCCTGGCTGAAAGCAGAGAATATCAGAAAGATGTCTACCTGTGTTTCATTGACTATCCATATGCATTCGACTGTGTGGGTCATAACAAATTATGGATAACATTGAAAAAACTAGGAATTCCAGAACACTTAATAGTGCTCTTGAGGAACCTGTACATAGATCAAGAGGCAGTTATTCAAACAGAACAAGGAGGATGCTGCATGGTTTAAAATCAGGAGAGGTGTGTGTCAGTGTTGTATCCTTTCACCACACTTATTCAATCTGTGTGCTGAGCAAATCCAAGAAGCTCTACTGTATGAAGAAGAACAGGGCATCAGGATTGGAGGAAGACTCATTAACAGCTTGTGTTATGCAGATGACACAACCTTGCTTGCTGAAAGTGAAGAGGACTTAAAGCACTTACTGAAGAAGATCAAAAACCACAGCCTTCAGTATGGATTACACCTCAACATAAAGAAAACAAAAATCCTCACAACTGGACCAATAAGCAACATCATGATAAATGGTGAAAAGATTGATGTTGTTAAGGATTTCATTTTACTTGGATCCACATTCAACACCCATGAAAACAGCAGTCAAAAAATCAAAGGATGCATTGCATTGGGCAAATCTGCTGCAAAAGACTTCTTTAAAATGTTAAAAAGCAAATATGTCACTGTATGGACTAAGGTGTGCCTGACCCAAGTCATGGTGTTTTCAGTCACCTCATATGCATGTGAAAGCTGGGCAATGAATAAGGAAAACTGAAGAATTGATGCCTTTGAATTATGGTGTTAGCAAAGAATATCGAATATACCATGGACTGCCAAAGAATGAAAAAAATTTATCTTGGAAGAAGTACAACCAGAATGCTCCTTAGAAGCAAAGATGATGAGACTTAGTCTCACATACTTTGGACATATCAGTAGGGATAAGCCCCTGGAGAAGAATATCATGACTGGTAAAGTAAAGTGTTGGCCAAAAAGGGGATGACCCACACAGTGAGATGGATTGACACAGTGGCTGCAACAATGGGCTCAAGCATAACAATGTTCACAAGAACGTTGCAGGACCCGGCGGTGTTATGTTCTGTTGTACATAGGGTTGGTATGAATCGGAACAGACTCAATGGCACCTAACAACAACAATGGCTAATGAATCAACTCAAAGGCAACAGGTTAATAGCTAATGAATGGTGCAGTGACTAAAGAGCTTGGCTGCTAATCAAAAGATTGGCAGTTTGAATCCACCAGCCGCTTCTTGGAATCCATATGGCACAGTTCTCCTCTGTCATACAGGGGTGCTATTTTTTTTTTTTTTTTTTGTGGTTAATGCTAATGAAAGGAGATCTAGTGATGCAGTGGTTAGGTACTCAGCTGCTAACCTGAAGATTGGTGGTTCAAACCCACCCAGTGTCTCTGAGATTTAAAGACTTGACAATTTCCTTCTTAAACTGTTATAGCCTAGAAAACGCATGAGACAGTGCTCCTCTGTCCCATGGGGTCGCTATGAGTCGAAATCGACTTGACAACACCTAACAACAACAACAACAATGGCTAATGAAATTGAGCAACTTTTCATTTTCTCGTTAGCCATTTTTATATTCAAGTCCGTCAGTTTTATGATTGGGTTGTTTGTCTTTTTCTAGTTAAACGGTAGGAATTCTTTTTATATTCTGGCTATTAAGCCCTTATCTGATATATGGTTCCCAAAAATTTTCTCCCAGTCTGTAGGTTATCTCTTCACTTTGTTAATAAGTTTCTTTGATGTAAAAAGGTTATTAATTTTGATGAGATCTCATTTATCTATTCTGTTGTGTTATTGTGCTTTTAGTGTCATATCCAACAACCTGTTTTTGAAGACTGGGTCCCAAAAAATTATCCCTATTTTTTTTCTAAGAATTTTACAGTTTTAGGTCTAATTTTTAGGTGTTGGAACAATTTTGAGTTAGTTTTCTTATATGGTATGAGATATGGGTCTAACTTTATTCTTTTGCATGTGGAAATCCAGTTGTCCAAGCACCACTTATTAAAGAGATTGTTCTTTCCTCATTTGATGAATTTAGTAACCTTCTCAAAGATTTATCAACCTTAGATGTGTGCACTTATCTCTGGGCTCTCAACTCTATTCCATTGGTCTATATGTCTATCATTATACCAGTACCAGACTGTTTTAATTACTATAGCTTTAAAATAGGTTTTGAGATGAGAAAGAGTGAGTCCTCCAACTCTGTTCTTCTTTCTCAGTATTGATTTGGCTACTCTGGGCCTTTCACAGTTCTATATGAAATTTAGGATTGGCTTTTCTACTTCTGCAAAGAAAGGTGTTGGAATTTTAATGGGTAGTGCATTGAATCTATAAACTGCTTTAGGTAGTACTGACATCTTGACAATATTAAGTCTTCTGATCCATGAGCAAGGAATGTCCTTCCATTTATTTGGATGATCTTTCACTTCTTTCAGTAATGTTTATAGTTTTCAGTATACAAGTCTTTCACCTCTATAGTTAAATTTATTCCTAGGCATTTTATTCTTTTAGATGTTAATATAAATAGAATTGTTTCTTTAATTTCCTTTAGTTTGTTCCTGGTATATAAAAGCATAACTGATTTTTCTGTGATGATCTCATATCCTGCCACTATCTGGAATTCATTTATTGTGTATTCTTTGGGGTACAAATAGTCCCTGGTTTACAACTGTCCAACTGATGGACAACTCTTACTTGCCCTTTAATGTTATGTAAATCTGCTCTCACTTTGAAATGATCAAACCAACCTTACTCACAACAATTTCTTCATTACAATGACCTTCGCTTGCTGCACACACAACTTTTAAACCATAGAAAAGGCTTTGAGCCATTTATTGGGCTAAAGTCAGGCTAAATAAGAACTGTATGCACATGTTCTGACTTACCTACAAATTTGTTTTAAAGGTACACTTAGGAACAGATCTCATTTGTAACCTGGGGACTCTCTATATTCTATATATAGAAAAGCTAGCTGCAAAAAAGAATTGCTTTACTTCTTCCTTCCCAATTTGGATGCCTTTTATTTCTTTTTCTTGCCTAATTGCTCCAATTAGAACTTCCAGTACAATAATGAATAGCAATGGTGAGAGTAGTTGTTGGATATTGTCAAACGCCCTTTCTGTCTTGAATGACGTGATTATGTGGTTCTTTGCCTTTGTTCTATTGATATGGTGTATCCCACTGACTGATTTCCTACTGTTGAAACCACCTTGCATTCCTGGGATAAATCCCATTTGATCATGGTGCATAATCCTTTTAATATGCTTATGGATTCAGTTTGCTAGTATTTTGCTGGAGATTCTTGTGTCTATATTTATTGGAGATATTGGTCTGTAGTTTTCTTTTCTTGTAGGGTGTTTGTCTGGTTTTGGTACCAGGGTGATGCTAGCCTCATAGACTGTATTAGGGAGAGTTCGCTCCTCTTTTATTTTTTGGAAATTTTAAGAAGGATTGGCATCTTTTGTTCTGTAAATGTTTGGTGGAATTCCCCAGTGAAGCCATCTGGTCCTGGACTTTTCTGTCTTGGGAGGTTTTTGATATTGCTTTGATCTCTTCACTTGTTACGTGTCTGTTGAAGTCTTGTCTTTCTTCTAGACTTAATTACTGTCTTTATGAATTTATCTGTAAATGTCTTTGATCCTCTAACGTTCTTCAACATTCTTCAGCTGAGTGGCTTAAAGTGAGTTTGTATAGAAAAGGGTGAATAGCACAGAAATCAATGAGGAAAGAGTTCTAGGAAGAATAGTATTGCCACAATTGAGAAGTGTTGCTGAAGGGGGTGTATGTCTTAAGTGTGAGTGCTTTACTTGTGAATTTCCTGAATTCAAAATATACAGAGCTGAGTGACTCTGTTCTTGTTTCCTTTTACTGATTTTTTTTTTTACTTTCCCAAAGGTGTCTCTGCAACATGGACCCACAGAATCTAACACATGTCTCTGAATTCCTCCTGCTGGGCCTCTCAGAGGATCCAGAACTGCAGCCCCTCCTCTTTGGACTGTTCCTGTCCATGTACCTGCTCACTGTGCTTGGAAACCTGTTTATTATCCTGGCTGTGAGTTCTAACCTCCACCTTCACATCCCCATGTATTTCTTCCTCTCCAACCTGTCCATGGTTGACATTGGTTTCACCTCTGTTACAATTCCAAAGATGCTTATGGATATCCATACACACCACAGAATCATCTCCTATGGCGATTGCCTGATTCAGTTGTCTTTTTTTGTTTTTTTTGGATGTATGGACAATCTACTCCTGGCAGTGATGGCCTATGACCGGTTTGTGGCCATCTGTCAACCACTTCACTACCCAGTCATCATGAATCCCAACCTCTGTGTCTTCATGGTTTTAGTGTCTTTTTTTCTCAGCCTTTTGGACTCACAGTTGCACTGCTTGATGGTGTCACAACTTACCTTCTGCACAGAAGTGGAAATTCCTCATTTCTTCTGTGATCCTTCTCAACTCCTCAACCTTGTCTGTTCTAACACTACCACCAGAAAAATACTAGTGTATATTATTGGTGCCATCCTGGCAGGTGTTCCAGTCTCAGTGATCCTTTTCTCTTACACTCAAATTGTTTCCTCCATTCTGAGAATACCATTGTCAGGTGGGAAGTATAAAGCCTTTTCCACCTGTGTTTCTCACCTGTCAGTGGTTTGCTTATTTTATGGCACAGCTATTGGAGTGTACCTGAGTTCAGCTGTCTCATCTTCTCTCAGGAGTGGAGCAGCAGCCACAGTGATGTACTCCGTGGTCACCCCCCTCTTGAACCCCTTCATCTACAGCCTGAGGAACAGAGATATCAAGAGAGCCCTGCAGAGACTCCTCAGCAGACCAGCATAATGTCATACCTGTGCCGTTTTTTGATCTGTGGATTAGAATAAGCAGAAAACCAAACATGTGCAGCTTGAAAGCATGCTCCTTTGGTCACATTTTTGTAGCTTTCATTCCCCTTGATGTTTCATATCAGAATATTGATTATTTGGCCCTTTGTGGGGGGATTGAGGGATGTTCTGAAATTCGTGGTACATCGTAATATATACCCAATTGAATTGTATAACCTATATGGAGCCTTCTGTATTTGTCATCTATGGCACGGGCATTGTGGTCAAATGTACGACTTTCTTTAATAAAAAATGCAATCCACAACTCTTTTCCACAGTTCATGCCTAATGTCCTTACAACTCCTATATCTGTCTTATCTATTTATACAGTTTAGATGTAATAATGCTTGTTATTAGCCCTCAAACTTGGCTTCATATTGGAATCATCTGGTGAACTTTAAAGATACTCTTGCCTGAGTTGCACCACCAGAGATGCGGATTTATTTAGACTGAGGTCTGTGGTGAGATTCTTCAAAGCACCCCAAGAGGTACAATGGGCAGCCTAGGTTGGAGACTATTTATCTAAGTGAGACCATTGTTCAAAAATGACTAACAAGCCTTGGGTCCTTTATTCCTCGTGAGCAGATGCTGAAGATCTTAAAGTAATCAGAGCTCACAATGGGGAAGATATGAAAGAACTTCAGGCAATGTGATTTTTCTCAATGTTCCTGGTAATATTTCCTCAAATATCTTATTCCTGCATAACATAGAGTTAGTCACATGTGCTGAATATTAAGCTCTTGTGTCCCTGCTCCAAATGCACCTTTCTATACTATGCTTTGTGATGCCAGAGTAGTAGTCCCATCCCTGCTCTGATTTCCATCTGACTTTCTTGTAATGTTCTTCGAATATTTATCTAAAAAAAACCCACCCCAATAATTCAAACTTTTTGCTACTCTTCTTATTCTTTGGCATGGTTACTACTTCCTGTAGGTAATAGCTCAGTGTTACCCCTTTTTTTCTTTTATGCCTTTCAGTCTTCCAATACCTATTTACTGAATTATGTATTAAATGATCTCCATTAAAATTACTAGTTTTTTTCTTTCTTCTTGATTGAGCCCTGACTAATAAATTGTAACACGAAGAATCAAGGTATTGGAGGGCCAAGACAGCAGAGTAGTCAGATGTTTCCAGTGTTCCTTCTTACAACAAAGACCCGTAAAAACAAGTGAATTGACTATATATGACAATCTAGGAGCCCTGAACATCAAAGGTAAAGTTGAGGATCAGACTGAGTGGCAGGGGAGGGGAGAGACAGTTCAGAAGCAGCGAGGAGTTGCCAGACCTGACCCAGTGAGAGCCTGAGCCCTTCATGTCTAATCAGCTCATGCTGCACAGTGAGGCAGGTAAGCAGCAGTGCTCAAGAGGTGTTTTCCACATCGGGAGAGACCTAGTGACAGAGAGTCTACTCGGCCATCCAGAACCAGTGAGCAGCAGCCCTTGATTGGTGAAATATAGGTACTTGTGTCTGGCCAACTGCATGGATCAAAAACACCCCACTTAGGGAAAAACGTCTCTCTCATCACCCCCCCACTCCCTGTTCTGCACTGGGTCCAGGACCAGCTTCAGTGATTGCTGAGTCCCCTGGGCTGGAAGTAGGACCTGTTATGCACCCTGAGCCATTCCCCTGGCCTTGGAAAGTGAACAAATTAACAACAGGGGGAAAAGTAATCTGCCAGCTCCCCTAAGCCAGGAATTCAGGGTAGGCACAGTTCCTTTGCCTAGGCACAGGCATAAGAGATCCATGGACTTTGAGTGCCTTTTCTCCTGCATAGACTTGTGAGGGCCCATTTCCACAGTGCAGGCCCTCATTACCACAGTACAACAGGGTATATACCTGAAGTTTAACTTCAACCGTTTCAGCTGTGAAGTGGCAGGTTCATGACATTTGACACTGCTCTGCCCATTAAGCAGGGTCTTCACCTTACCCACATCAGGGGCCTGAGGATGGGTGGCTCCACCCATGCCACCTAGCCACCCATAACAGGGGTCCAGTAATAAGCTGTAACCCCCAGACCTTACAGCCAACAGCACTGGATGCTCATAGTTCGACTGCAAAATCCACCCATCTATGCACTCTAGGGAACAGGGGTATTCTTTCCTTTTGGACACTCAGGTGTAGCTGTCTGACCCCTGCCTTGCTCAGCCTGTGTCCCCCTGTTGCACCCAGATGTCTATGCCTACAACAATCACCCATGCCTGTCTAGAACTGTAGGTGAGAGCTTGCACCACGCATTTGGCGGCCAACTACCTGGACACCTGAGCTAAATCCATACAGGAGGAATGGGCAGACTTCTGGGCTCACATACTTAGTGGCAGGTCTTGTCACCTGGTGGCAGGACTTTGGAGCTTCAGGGGCACTAGTGACCTGGATAGCTCACACAAGCAGCCTATTTGGGCATATCAAAACAAGAAGCTAGGACAGAGTAAGCAAACATAAAATAAATAAACATAATAACTTGTTGATGGCTCAGAGAAAACAGTCAATATGAAATCACAAAAAAAGGCAGACCAGGCTGACTTCAGCAAGCTCCCAAAATAAAGAATCTAGAAATTTTCTGGATGAAGAAAATTTCTTGGAATTACAAGATGCAGAATATAGAAGATTAATTTACAGAACTCTTCAAGATATCAGAAAGGAAATTAAGCAAAACACAGAACACACAATAGAGGAACTTAAAAAGATTAGAGAAGAGCATAATGACAAATTTAACAGGCTGCAAGAATCCACAGAGAGACAGCAATCAGAAATCCAGAGGATTAACAATAAAATTTCAGAACTAGACAACTCAATAGAAAGTCATAGAAGCAGAACTGAGGCAAGGGAGGGCAGAATCAGTGAGACTGAAGATAAAGCACTTGACACCAACTTATTAGAGGAAAAATCAGATAAAAGAATTAAAAAAAGAAGAAACCCTAAGAATTATGTGGGATTCTATCAAGAGGAATAACCTATGAGTGATTGGAGTACCAGAACAGGGAGAGATAACAGAAAATACAGAGAGAATTGTTGAAGATTTGTTGGCAGAAAACTTCCCTGATATCATGAAAGATGACAAGGTATCTTTCCAAGATGCACATTGAACTCCCACATAAGGTAGATCCCAAAAGAAAGTCACCAAGACATATTATAATCAAACTTGCCAAAACCAAAGATAAAGAGAGAATTTTAAGAGTGGCTAGGG